GTACCGTACTTAGTGATGAACGAGGTCTTTTCTTGATCTTCTGGGTTCATCTCTATCTAGTTGTACCCGGAGTAGGCATCGAGAAAATTGAGAATCTCGTGGCCGGCCATGGCATCGATCATACGATCGATACTAGGCAAAGGAAAGGAATCCTTAGGGCATGCTTTATTCAGGTCTTTATAATCTATAGACATTCTAAGTTTGTTTCCCCTTTTAGGGACCACCACCACATTTGTTAGCCATTCGGGGTATTTTATTCTCGAATTGATCCTATTTTAAGAAGTTTGATTACCTCGTCCTTGATGAATGCATGTTTGACCTCGGACTGGGGCCTTCTTTTTTGCTTTACCGGATGGAATTTCAGATCCAAACTCAGTTTATGAGTGGTTATTTCCGGTGGGATTCCTGTCATGTAAAGATGGGACCAAGCAAAACAGTTCATGTTAGCTATAAGAAATTGAATAAGCTTTTCCCTGAGCTCGGGATCTAACCCCGTGCCCAGGTATACCTTTTGCTTGGGCAGATGTTTGATTAGTGAGATTTGCTCCAGTTCTTCGACCGTTGATTGGGTAGCATCGAAATCATCGGGGACTACGAAGGATCGAGGAATCCCATAATCATCATCTTCATCAGTCTCATGTTTTTCTAGTTGGGTCGAGGCTGACATTTGTGATTGCTATTTGGTGTCTTGTTCCTCCTTCGAATTCGATCCCTTTGTCGATGATAGTGAGGATATCGGAATCACTTAATCGACAGCAAACATTTCTTTTGCGGATGGTTGCTCCCTATAGACCATTTTGATTCCCTCCGATGTTGGGATTTTCAGAACCTGGTGAAGGGTCGAGGGTACTGCTCTCATGTTGTGGATCCATGGCCTCCCGAATAGGGCGTTATATCTCATATTGCCCTCGAATACATGGAACTTCGTTTCCTAGATGGTCCCGGGCATGTTTACTGGCAAGATTATCTCTCCCTTAGTAGTTTCACATGCCATATTAAATTCGTTCAGTACCAGGGTCACGGGTACGACCTGGTCATGTAGACCGAGTTGCTCTACGACCCTTGATCGAATGATGTTGGCCGAAATACCTGGATCAGTTAACACACGTTTAACTTGAGTTTTATTCATAAGTACAGATATTAACAGTGCATCGTATGGGGTTTCATGATTCCTTCCGCGTCTTCGTCACTAAAGGACAAGGTTCCTTTAGGTGTGTAATCCTTAGTCCAAGATCGCTTTTCTCTTACAATAGACAACTTAGTGCGTTTAAACATCGGTCCCTGGGGAACGTCAATCCCTCCGATGATCATATGGATGATGTGCTGTGGCTCTTTTTGTTCGTTTTGTCTATTGAAATCTCTGTTTTTGAAATGGTTTTTGGCCGGTCACTTAAATATTCTCGAAGGTGCCCTTCATTGAATAACCGGGCTACCTCCTCTCTCAATTACCTGCAGTCTTTGGTTTTGTGGCCATGGGTGCCATGATACTTGCACATTTGATTGGGATTTCTCTGAGTTGGATCGGACTGCAGAGGTTGAGGCCACTTAGTACCTTTGATGCGTCCGATAGCCGACACGATGGCGGATGCATCAATGTTGAAGTTATATTCTGATAACTGTGGTGCTTCCTTAGGTCCAGTATGCCTGTCGAACCCATTTCTATTCATCAGCCCCCGAGACCCTTGACCTCGATCACTTCTCATTTCGCCTCGTACGGAGTTGCGCGCAGGTTCGCTACCCCTACGATCTCCGTTATATGGCCGATATCGATCCTTATTTGACCTTGGTTCTCGGTAGATGTCCCTTTTAATAATGGACCTAGACCCCAACTGGTCGTCTTCAACTCTGATCTTCGATTGATATCGATTGTGTACATCGGCCCAAGTAATAGTCGGGTACTCGATCAAATTCTGCTTCAACTGTCGTGAAGCCATCGAGCTCCGCTCGTTCAGTCCTTGAGTGAAAGCTTGTACAACCCAATCGTCAGTGACCGGTAGTAGATCCATTCGTTCCATTTGGAAACGACATACGAACTCTCTTAGCATCTCGTTGTCCTTTTACCTTACCTTGAAAAGGTCTGGCTTCCTGGTCTCGACCTTTATGGCTCCAGCGTGTGCTTTTACGAAAGAATATGCAAGCATAGCAAAAGAATCGATATAGCTAGATGGTAAATGATGATACCATATCATTGCCCCATTTGACAAGGTTTCCTCGAACTTCTTAAGTAGTATGGATTCGATCTCGTCATCTTCTAGATCGTTCCCTTTATGGCACATGTGTAAGAGGTGACATGTTCGCTGGGGTCGGTCGTTCCATTATATTTAGGAATTTCGGGCATGCGAAACTTCTTTGGGATCGGTTTAGGAGCCGCGCTTGGGGAGATGGCTTTTGTACGAATTTTTTGGAATCCAAGCCCTTCAATATCGGTGGTGCCCCCGGGATATGATCAACCCTGGAGTTACAAATCTCTACTTTCTTGTCGTTTGCTTCAATCCTCTTTTTTCCTGACTCAATTCGTTTTGTCAGTTCCTCTAACACCTTAATAATTTAGAGATTAGTCCCCGATTCTTGTTCATTTAATCTTACAACACCTGGCCCCGTTTCGTGGGTGACTTCTCGGGGTGGACCGGGCTCGGCCCTGCTCGGTGCCTGGGTTTGGCTCAGTAACTGAGCTATCGCTACCTGCTGAGCTTGCAACATTTCGAAAATCATACACAGGTTGATCCCGTCTTCTCCAACATTTTGGGTATTTCGAACTGCATATCGAGTTTTACCATGAATGCTTTTTTCGGGGTCGGAACGCTGGTTCGCCTCGATGGCCACATGCAAATTATCGTCAATCGGATCTATGGCTCGAACTCCAACGGGATCGACTGGTGGCCTTTCATCCCCAGTCGTCAGGTTGTTGTTCTCATCTTGAAGGCCAGCTTCGTTGTCGATAGGTATGGCCATTAATTGAGAGTTCATCATTTTTAACCTGTAATCAAAGATACTTCCATGAGTAAGTGTAAAATGATGTGTTTTGCAGAGATTCGTACCAAACAACCACTGTTATCCTTAGCCCCACGGTAGCCGCCAAACTGTTTACCCAAAAAAAGGATAGAGTTGAATTTATACGTAGTTCTAAGGATAAGAGTTGAATTTATACGTAGTTCTAAGGATACGTGGTATAACTTGGTATAAATCGGAAAAGTAAGTAGAAATATATCGAATAGTGACCGTATAAATGAATGAAATACAAATCAAATTGAGTAGAGAATGATTTATAAACAAGCAAGATGAATCAATGTTCAAAGCCCAAAAATGGAGAATCTTTACTATATGTGTGTAAATCTCAATAATTTCTGAATATGAGAGTGTATCAATGTACGCTTCTCTGGATCTCTCCTCTTACAGAAATGATACCCACTCTTAATATAGTGGAAAAATCGTACTTTGGATATAATAAAAATACATAATGGGGATCCCATGATAGATTAGTTAATTAGCTTTTCCTTAATTTCCGCCGAGATTCTCTCCCTAAGTGCGGCTGCAACGGCTCTATGTCTCTTAGATCGATCTTGGTCGGTCTTGGTATTGGTCGATCTCCGGATCTCGAGCTCGATATTGACTCTAGCTCGATATTGACTCGAGCTCGATATTGACTCGGGCTCGGTATTGATCGGTCTCTGGCTCTTGAGCTCGATAACACTATTTCATATCATAGCTCGATATTGATTCGAGCTCGATATTGATCGATCCCTGAATCTTGAGCTCGATAACCTGGCTTTACTTCTTATCTCGATGTTACAATGACGACCTTCGGTTCATCATGTTCCAACCTCGATTAATTACACGTAGGATAAACTCGGATTTGACGTTATACACATATGTAGATCATTCTAATAGAATATCCTTGCATTTCCGGCTGCCATATAACCAGCTTTTTCTAAATATTTAGAATCTTTTTTATCACCATCCAAGAAGACTGCTTTCCACCAATAGTCTGTTTTTCTCTTGGCATAAGTTCCATAAGAGTTTGCACACAACAGCTCTCAATTCCAGGTTAAAATGTCAAGGATATTAAGACCACTAGCTGACTTCTATACCTCCAGTCCATAAGAATTTCTAACTTTAAATGTGTACATAGTGGATACTAATAACGACTGAGTAGGAATGAGTTTTAATTTATGGGAGTTCATAATCTTTTTTCCAAGAAAGGAAAAAGTAAAACATGGAAAGTTTAGTAGTTTCTTTTGAGAGAAAAAAAAAATCAATTATGGTAAATGTGTTACTCTTTATAGAATTCGGAATTCGAACGTGTCTCGAAAATTACTGCAAACAACTAACAACATTTGTTCTATCGATCCTTTTTTTCTTTCTTTCTTCTTACTTTATTTTTTTTTAAAATTAAAAAAGAACGAACAAGTAATCAATGAAACAAAGAATCCTCTTGGATTTGGTCATATTCAACTCTATTTTTTTTCAGAATTTTCAGCTCTAATTGAAATAGTATCTAGATGAAATAGTATCTGTATTTGCTATTATGGGAAACCACAATACGGCTACCTCAAAGTCCACTACAACTTGGTTTGTAACAATAACAAATGCATCTATATATTTATATATTTTCCCCTAAGGTTTTCCCGCTTATATATTTGTTTAACAGTATTCTATATTTGTTTAACAGTACCCTTGTTCTTGTACATTCTGCTTTTTAGTTCTTACATTTTTTATTAGCCACTTTCAATTAAACCCCTCCCCAATCCCACCTCACCAAGCATAAGTCTCCTTGCTTTCTTTATAGGTATGCTACACCTTGACATTCATAGCTAGTACTGAACTGGTCCATAATAAAGACATGACTAGCACATTCGTTTCAATAGACTCTTCTTCATAACTATTAACTCCCTAACATTTATGCCTTGCACGTAAAACATATAACCCGTCCTATATAAAGACATGCCTTCCCAATTCCCATCAAGGGAAAACAAAAAAAGGAGAAGGGGAGAAAAAAAAAGTACTGAGCAAAAAATGGCCCTTCCTATTGCAAATGATCAAGAAAGTGTGGCTTCTAGCAAAAAAACAGTGAAGAAAATCAGCATTATTGCCATTTCTTCCATAGTTCTTGTTGGTTGTATTGTGGCTGCTGTTGTTGGTATAACGTACGCCAAAAATAATGGAAATTCATCAGGCAGTCAATCCAAGTCTTTTTCCACAGCAATTAAAGCTGTTTGTGACGTAACGTTATACCCTCAATCATGTTACAACAGCCTTGGTCCTCTAGCCAAATCAGACAACCTTAAACCTCAAGATATTTACAAATTATCTGTCCAAGTTGCTATCAACGAGCTCTCTAAAGCTTCGGATGAGTTCTTCAATATGCCACAAGTGAAAAATATTTCTGATCCTATGGCTGTTAAGACCTTAGGAAATTGTCATGAACTTCTTTCACTTGCACTAGACAGCCTCAATGAATCTCTTTCTATCCCAAGCAAGTCGTTATTCGACGGGTTTTCTGACCTCAAGACAAAGCTAAGTGCAGCTGGAACATACCAGCAAACATGCATTGATGGTTTTGGGGATATTACTTATGCTTCTGATACGGCTTCCAATAAACTTAAGAATTCGGGTCAACATACTAGTAACAGCTTGTCCATTGTTGATATCATGGATCAATCAATCCAGGATTCAGCGGACTCCATTGATCGTATGGGTCGAATTGGGAGACGTCGTTTGATGAATTTTGATGGAGATTTTCCTAGCTGGATGGCTTCAAAAGATAGGAAATTGCTTCAATCTTCAAAAGGAAAAAGTTTGATCAAAGTGGACGTTGTGGTAGCTAAAGATGGCTCTGGGAACTTTATTAATATCAGTGATGCTCTTGAGGCAGTGCCTGAGAAGAGTAACAAAAGGTTTGTGATTTATGTGAAGAAGGGAGTTTATGTGGAGAATGTTATAGTTGAGAAGAAGAAATGGAATGTTATGATGATTGGTGATGGTATGGATGCTACCACTGTCTCTGGCTCTCTCAACTTTGTAGATGGCACTCCCACTTTCCAAACTGCAACTTTTGGTAAGTCGTTGTTCCAATTTTGCATCAGACAAATAGTGGTTCCTACAAATTTTTAAATCCTAAGCAATATACATGCATGCTCTAAACTTCTAATGCTTCTTCCATTTTTCTTCTTACACAGCTGTGTTTGGCAAGGGATTCATAGCTCGTGACATGGGTTTCCGCAACACAGCAGGTGCAGCCAAGCATCAAGCCGTGGCTCTAATGTCAACTGCTGATCTCTCTGTCTTTTACCGCTGCAAATTCGATGCTTACCAAGACACGCTATACTCACACTCCAATCGCCAATTCTACAGAGAATGCAGTATTTATGGAACAGTGGACTTCATATTTGGTAACTCAGCAGTTGTTTTTCAAAACTGCCACATACTTCCTAGGAAACCAATGCCTGGCCAAATGAATACCGTCACAGCTCAAGGCAAGATCGACCCAAATCAAAACACTGGCATTTCTATTCAGAATTGCACAATTTGGCCCTCAGCAAATCTCACCGGAGTCCGTACTTTCTTGGGTAGGCCATGGAAAAACTATTCCACAACCGTTATTACGTCTACAACAATGGCCAGCTTTATTGATCCTACAGGGTGGTTGCCTTGGGTGGGTACTACAGCACCAGATACTATTTTCTACGCTGAATATAAAAACTTCGGACCTGGGGCTGTGACTAAAAATAGAGTCAACTGGAAAGGATTGAAATTGAATATTACTAGTAAAGAAGCTAGCAAGTTTTCTGTTCAGAAATTTATTCAGGGTGACAAATGGCTCCCATCTACTGGAGTCAGCTTCAAGAAGGATATCTGAGTGAGATAAAGCTACGGTGGAGTCGACATCTTTATTCTTTTCTTCTCTCCAATAAGGTTGATTTTGTTTTCTGTTTCACTTTATTTATACTGAGGGGAGAGGGGTTTTCCTTTTTTTATTTTTTATTTTGGGGGGTGGTTGGTTTGGTACTGCTTTTGGAGCCCAAAGAGCCTAAGAGTACGTTATACACGTTAGAACCCCTAAACTGCTGCTTCTTATCTCTAAACGTTGGTTGATTTGTACTCAATTTTCAAGGGAAATTTTTTTCTTTTGCTGGACTTCACGTTTAGTTAAAGGCATTCTTAACCATGATTTTCAATGAACATAATTACCTGTGAGATGCGACAAATTCAGTCCTGTGATTCCCAGTGCCAGCACAAGAGTTTTATTTTAATCAAAGTACAAGTAGAAAAAGCATTTTTTGTCAAACACATTATTTTGAATTGGAATAGCAAAGGGAAACTCTGTAAAGTTAGAAGGGTTTACGGCGTCGTCTTCCAATGGCACTCTTAGAGCTGGAAACATGCAAAACACTAATGTCTACCACAGTTTCAGTTCAATAGGAAATAGGCTGGAGCTACGCAAGTAAACGAGTTAACCGCAGAAACCACTATGTGACCTATATATAGGCCCAAATGTATCCTGAAACGATATACCACTAAATATTGAATCTAGCAGAGTTCACAGTTTAACTTGCAGGAGAAAATATATAACTCAAAGCCTAACCAATATGTTTTTAAAATCCAAATCAAATTGAGACTCTAATAAATTAGAAAGCATGTGAACTATCTAAAAGCAATATTTCACTTTATCATTTTTAGTTGCTAAAGACTGGCCTTCCAGTATATTCCTTTTTAACAGTATTGCATAACTGAGCAGGAAATGGAAAGAGCCACGCCATCCATTACAGAATGCCAGTAGGAGGATTTTAACACTTCAAAATCCACATTGTATCTAACTGAACATAAATATTATAAAAATCAAATGGAACAAACCTCTAGATAAGCACAAATAACTGGTCTGTTGCAATGTATCAGCAAATTACAGTCTCAAGACTAATCACGGATCAACATCCATTGTTCTCATCAAAATTGCAGTAAAATAAAGTACTAGTATTACTAGAAACCATAACGACAACCTCTGGCTGAATCACTTCAATGGAATGAACCTTTTTTAGACTACTTCAATGGAATGAACCTTGAAGAGTGAGTAGCACCAATACCGGGCCTACCGTGCTTGACAGGCTTGTATGAGATTGAGAACTCAGCTAAATAGTGGCTAATCATTTCAGGCTTGACCTCAATTTGATTGAATGTTTTCCCATTGTAGATTCCAATAACGCTTCCAATCATCTCAGGTACAATAATCATGTTCCTCAAATGTGTTCTGACAACCTCTGGCTTCTCACCTGGTGGAGCCTCGCGTTTCTGCATGAACACGTTTAGATGTATCAATAAAAAGAAAACATGGTCCTAAATACCCAATTAGTGCCAAAACCTATCAAATGCTACATCAAAATCCAAATGTTACAGCGAAGCCAAACTTGCCAACCATTAAACATTGAGTGCAAGCATTAAATCCTGTTTCTTTCTGTAGGAAGAGGTGGTTGCCTGAGGAAAGTGACTTCTGATGAATAGGAATTGAACATCAAAAGCCCTTCCCCCCTCCCCCAAAAACTATTGACAAGTAGAACTTCCGGATCTATTGCAAACAGGAAAAGAAGAAAACACAAGGAATAAATCAAAAGTCAAGGTCATGATACCTAGTTCTGGTAAATTCTACTTTAGCAAGCATGCACTCCCAACTCATGTGATTGTCACCCAAGTGTTAACACCACATTTGATAGTAATAATCCTCAAATCAAGTCAACATATAGTATTGTGACTCTCATCAAAAAAATTATAGTATTGTGTCATTTTAAACTCTGCAAACGAAAGTGTTAAAACTATAAATTGAAACTATAGCGGCAGAAAAAAGACAGCAACTATGGAATAATATAGGGCATTCCCCTCACTTTGGCAGCAAGTTGATGCAGCAAAGTGGCCAGGGAGTCCCCAAACAATTATTGTGCGCCTACACACATTGTGTGCCACAAATAAAAACCTCACTCTGTGGTATACCACGCCACCTCTTGTTCACGAGGGAAGCGCTCGGCCTTAGGCGCCTAAATTCTAGACTACTCAGTTACCATCAGTATGTTACGCATAAAAAGCACAAATAAATTTAAATCAATCATTATACTAATATTTTTCATCTTGTATCTCGATTTCCCATTTCAGTGGTATTTAAACACATGCGCTAAATTCTATAAAGCGTCAAGCACTCTGCAGTTCCAGTAATACAATTTTCTCCAAATTCACTGGAATAAACTAAATAAATTGGACCTGGCTGTTACTGAGGTAATGAAAACCAAACTCATGCTTAACATTCAAAACAAATATTAGTTTTTGCATTAGGAGCATGTTCCCTGTAATTCTTTACTATAGAAATAGTTGATATTGAGCATCAAATAAATAATTCCCATTTCAGAGAAAGCTAATTGGTAAACTGATCTTACCGCCTTACGCAGCTTCTTGATCAAAGCCATTGGCTTCCTCTTCAAACCCCTCTGGAACCTAACACAATTACAAATCAAGATGAGTTTTTTCACATATGAAACACCTCTCCATCTTCAAAAATATGAGCTTATACATGGGGGAAAACTTATACATTTGGAGAGTAAAATTGCTGCTTCTTCGACATCTTGCAAGCACTCAGGCAATTCCAATTTATGTGACCCTATTTGCGAGTAACCTCTACCTAAACTCAAAAACGATTTAACTTAACCTTCTTATTTTACCCTTAGTGAAAGACTTTTACAGCCTTTATAGACACACATATGACATAGTAGCATGTTTAAGACCATAAGCATCAAAAGTCTTAATATGGATATACCACATAGATGTCATGGGATGTCAACACCACAAGTTTCAACTGTCTTAATTTTTTCTTACTGTAAAAATTCCAATATAGAAACTTATGATTGCTGAACTTTTTGTAGTTTTTAGAAATACTCTTGTTACAAAAATTGTACAAGTATGAGTCCTGTCATTAAACAGCGCCCAAGACCGTGTTTTCTTAGGGTAAAGAACAGATTTACATTGAATTAAAGTTCAGCGGCTTATAATTCGACAATTAAACAAGCTCATACTAAACAAATTAATAACAATTTAATAAATATACATTCGTAAAAAAAAGGTACCTTCTGCGAGGACGAGCAGGGAAGAGCTTAACGAGCTCATCGGTAGACATGTCAAGAAGAGCATCCAGATCCACTCCTCTGTAACTGAACTTCTTAAACGTTCTCTTCTTAGGCTGTCCGGCCGCAACATCAGCACCTTCAACGTCCGCCTACAGAAAAAAAACTGTTAAAACCAGAAACATCGAAATAAGAAAACACATTTCGAGAGAAAATCAATTACCATGGCTTGGAATTGAACTAGCAGTGAAGTAAGCACCTACGGAAGTGACTGCGGCTAGGGTTTTGAGGGAAAGATGATGAAAGATAAGTTACTGAGTAGTGAGAGCCATATATAAGGATGGGTGTAGGGTTCGAGTATTTTCATGGGCTGGGCTTCAGAAACTGGCCCCATGTGTTACCTCTTAATGGGTCAATAGCCCATATAAACGCCAGAATTTATTTGGAATTAATTCGACTTTTATTTCAATCTTCTGTATTTTAAACAAAGTTTCGATCTGACAAAGAAAGAAATATAATTTTAAAGTATAATTATCATTTTTGCTCAAGTATACATATGTAATAGTAAGTCATTATAGTCACTAAGCTAGCGTTTGGCCATAGATTCCCAAATTTGTTCTGAAAAATTTAAATTGGATGAAGTTTGATTTGAAGATGAAAATGTGTTTGGACATCAGTTTTCAAAACATATTTCTCAAATTTATTTTGGAAAAACATGAAACATGACTTATACCCACAAGTTCTAAAAACTATCACAAATATCCAACAATACCATTATCAATAACATTCATTATATTATCGCAAACCATAGTCCTGAACATAAATAAATTTGATACAAAATTATCATTTTTATAATGAACTACATGATACACTATCAGGTGACCGAGAAGACGACGCAACATTATTACAAAATAATAAATTATGGGCTCTTTTATAAAATACAAAAGTTTGGGGCAATTTTTAAAAAATATAATAGTGATATTTTGGCCCAAAACCAGCTTTTTGGGATTTGGAATTTTGCCAAAATGTAGAAAAAATCTATGATCAAACATATGTTTGTCAAATAAAATTCAATTTTATTTTAGCAAAATCTATGGCCAAACGGGTCCTAAAAGATTCATGTACAAGTATTTCTTTGAGCCACAACACAAATTATCCAATATAAAAAGTGATTACAGATGATCCCAAATACCTCAATGGAGGTAATACATTGTGGAAACTAGAGATAGAATAGACCAAGCGTGACACCGAGTTCATCCACCTGAACAGGATCTGAACCGAAAAATCGCATCAAATTGAAAAATTAAATCAAATCGATTAAAAAATTCGATTGGGTTTGGGATGTAATACTTAATAGAACTATAAAGTGCACTTATTTTATTTACTTTAAATAATGGGTTGTATCACTTTCTTATCGAGTATTATTCAAATGCGTCAATCATCTCATCGTTCTTTCATATTCATATGTCAAGATTTCTTATATCGTTTTCAATTTTGAAGTGGTATTCTGATAATTTAAAATTTAATAGAACGTATCATTATTTAGGTATCAAATTGATTTTATATTTAATTATTAAATTAGGTTAATCTTGAAGGCGTACATCGACGAAAAATAATTATTTGGGGACTAAGAAATAACTATCATGTGTTACTAAAAAAAAATACTCTCATACGAATATTTTAATAGATCATATGTTTTCAATTTTTTTCAATTTCTAGTAAATATATATTCACTTATCAAAATTTTATCTATAACTTTAACAAAGTAAGACTAATATAATATTCATATAGCCAAAAAATCCAAAAATCCTGACAAAATCGAACCAATCCAAACCGATATAGTTGGTTTGGTTTGATTTTGATAAACTCGAACCAACTCGGTCCATTTACACCCCTACACTTAAATGCCTTTTTACTGTGCAGTTAGTAGCCAAGAGTTTGAAGAAAAAATCGGATAGCAACACTACAAAATAAAATTAATTAAACAAACAAAATCATATAGAGTCGTTTTCTTTTTTGTTTCGATATATTTAGACTGTTTCCACATAAAAAATATATATTCATTTCATTTAGTATACTGGAGCAAAAAATACTAATTTTCATATGTCGGTATACGTTTAGAAGGAATCAAATAAATTGATTAACCTATTGTCTATTGAAACATCTATATTTGAAAATTTTCATCATGAAACTTGATAATTATTCACTAATCAAATAACAATCTTACATTCACATATTCTTTTCAAATCTACCTAACATTAACGATTAAAACAATAAATGAACCACTCATTTGATTTAGAAGACTATAAAACTAAAGAAAATAACTTGAATATGTATATACAGCTTTATTACGGCTAAAAACATAGTATAAAGTAAGATTTCTAAAATAATAATTATTTATGACCATAAAAATTTATAAATTTACGTGTATGTATATGTATATAGTCAGTTTGCTTTTTATTTTTATTTTTATTTTTTAAATACCGAACCAAATCACATATTATTATTTTTAATTAAAATAAAATCAAACCAAATCAAAGAGCATGTTGGTTTGATTCGAATTTTTAATTTTTAGAACTTGCACTAGGTAGTTGATTTTACACGTGCTATTTAAGAATGGTTATAGGCCCTTCTCCTTCGGAAAGAAGAAAAGTATAAAAAGGAAACCTGCGATCTTTCAATCTTTTAGAATGATTCTTCAAGTAACATAAGAGAAGCAAATTTAGAAGTTGAGAACATGAAAGGAAAGGTTGAAATAAAAAGGCGCGGAGAAGACTTATTTTCATAAAAAGAAATATGGAAAAAATGATGGGGTTAGTAAATAAAAATGTACTTTATCAAGTAGTTTAAGTTTTTAGGTGATATGATTGCACACTTCAATATGATACCAGAACAGACATAGAGGTTCTGGTTTCGAGTGACATATACCAGAACAGACAGAAGTTATGGTTTCGAGTCTCACTGCTATTACGTATAGAAAAAATCGACATGCTTGGCTTAATAAATAAATAAAATCAAACCCCATGTGAGAGGTCGTGTTAAAGATATAATTAAACAAATAAAAGTATGTTAACTTTAATAACTTAAACTTTTAGATGAAATGATCACGCACTCCAATAGTGAAGTTGGGCTCTAAGTTGAATTTCATTGAAGACATATATGAGTCTTGATATTAAGATTTGACAAGCCCAATTAGACCCATATATTTGAAACTTTGTCAACTCAGTCATGTAGGGCCTAAAGTTGATTCTCATACGATTGAGGGTGTGTTTGATACGAAGGAAAATATTTTTCGAAAAATATTTTTCAATTTTTCCATGTTTGGTTGACTTAAATATTTTGAAAAATATTTTTCTCATTAACTCATTTCCTCCAATTGAAGGAAAATATTTCCCCTATCAAGAGAAGGGAAAACATTTTCCAAAACTCTTGTTCAACCTTCCCCACCCTATTTCCCATCCCCATCACCCCCCATACCTATCCCACCCTNATGTTGTAGATACAATACTTTATTTTTTCATTTCAACAAAATGAGTATTTTTTTCATGATATAAAAAATATATTTTGTTTCATTTCAACAAAAAAGGTACTTTTTTTTATGATGTGGAAAAAGTATTTTATTTCATTTCAACAAAATGATGTAGTAAAAAGTATCTTTTTCATTTCAACAAAAAATTACTTTATTTTCATGATGTTGAAAAAGTAATTTCTTTTATTTCAGTAATATGATATAGTAAAAAACATCTTCTTTCATTTCAACAAAAAAAATATTTTCTTTTCATGATATTGAAAAAGTATTTTCTTTCATTTCAACGAAATGATGTAGTAAAAAGTATCTTCTTACATTTCAACAAAAAAAAGTACTTTCATTTCATGATGTTTAAATTTTTTTTTTTTATTTCAACAAAATGATAGTAAAAACTATCTTCTTTTATTTCAACAAAAACGTACTTTCTGTTCATGTTGTAGAAAAAGTATTTTCTTTCATTTCAACAAAATGATGTAGAAAAAAGTATCGTCTTTCATTTATAAAAATAACACTTTCTTTTTATGATATAGAAAACGTATTTTCTTTCATTTCAACAAAATGATTTAGTAAAAAGTATTTTCTTTCATTTCAACAAAATGAGTATTTTCTGTTCATGATTTAGAAAAAATATTTTCTTTCATTTTAATAAAATGAATACTTTTTTTTCATGTTGTAGAAAAAGTACGTTCTTTTTCAACCAAAAAAAGAGTATATTGTTTTTAGTCATATAGTACTAATTTTAACGTTATTTTTGAGTGAAAAAGTAAAGCAGCATGTAGTCTCTTCTGATTTTGTGTGAATTTTTAAAAGAATAATTAAATTCTTGAAGAAAATAGAGTCCTGAAAATGTTGGGTATTTAGGTTTTTTTTGGGTGGGGGTGGGGGAGCATAAGAAACATGAGAATTTGGGGGAAGGGGGTAAGGAAAGTAGCATAAAAAATATTTTATACTCTCTAAACAAACACTAGAAAATATTTTTCGAAAAAGTTTTTTCACACCAACCAAACATGGAAAAATAAGTGATAAAACTACTTATTTTCCAGAAAAATAAGTGATAAAACCACTTATTTTCATGAAAAATATTTTTATATTTTTCATGAAAAATATTTTACTTCGTACCAAACACACCCTAAATATCAAATGTTTTGTAATTTTTGACTATATCTAAATAATGGTCCTTCAAATGGCTATATGTGCACTTAGGGCGATTTACTAGAATGGCCTTGAAAGTTGGTAGTCTTGAACTTTTCCCTTTTACCCCATTACTTGAAGATTGCCCATGGAGCAAACCGGGACAAAAGAAAAAAAATTCAACACCACTGTTGAGATATATGCAATTTTTTGGTGCACTTGCCCCCTTGAACACCCCTAGTTAAACAAAAGATAAAATGGTAATATAAGCGCAGTTTGCCATACATCTGAACTTCGGGGCAAAGTAGCAGTTTGTAAAATTCGAAAGGATCAGAATGCTAAAATTGAATATTTGGTCTTCGACCGCAACATAGGCACCGCTTCTCACTCGTCCGCTACTCTCACTAATCACTGGAGTTGTTTACATTGCAGGTATGTAATTTTCACTCATCCTATGTAATTTATTTTTTTCAGCTGTAAAAATTCGAAACTTGGGAAATTGTTCAAGTTTTTGTAAATTGGATTTACATAATGGAGGAAACAACAGGAATTATGTGCTATAATTTGGTGTTTATCTGGTTCTCGAGCATAATTTAACTGTTTTTTTCTTATTTTATTTTTCATTTTATCCAAATTCCGTTTATTGAGCAACCCTTTTACTGCTGTCAGCCTATTTGGGAAGTGCTAGTAAGGTTCTCAAAAACCCAGAGGAGAGGCAAAACAGAAACGTTCAGAGACCAATATTCTAGGAAAAGATGTTTTCAAATCATCTAATGAGTTACATGGTATGTAGTTGGTGTAGGAAAATGGAACTACTTTTAATGGTAAACTTATAGTATTTGTTTGCTAATAGGAAACATTGCTTCCCAATAGGATGATTGTTACGTTTTTGGAAGGGGCCAGGAGTATAGTGCGTTAGAAAGATTCCTGTTGTTGGAGCTGCATATTTGTAAATGGATGGCATAGTTGGATAATAAGCTCAACAAAGTATGTTTGAAGCTTAGTTTAGATGTATGTGAGAGGCTAGATAAGCTTATTACTTATTTGGGTGATAAATGATGGGACTTGGGAGTTTTAAGAATCTGAATAGAGAAAATAAGGTTCTTATTCCATTGAGGCAGAGCACTAGAAGTTCTATAGATTACAACCACTTTCCGACCGGAGGACTTAGCTCAGCTATGAGCTAATGTATCAACAGCTCACTTTCCTTAAAATATTTGATATTATGATAGATCACACCATCCATCAAGTGTGTTCTGAATTAAGTAAAACCCTATAGTCAATGACTTCAACTCAGAGAGGAGTTACAACACTTCTAAGATGGAAAATTCCCTATTGAAATGTGAAGAGTGGGATTATACTAGAGAGAAGATTCACAACAGAAATAGTGTTTGCCCCAGGGTTTTGGTCTAATGATAAGAGTGCATTGCTTGATCTGTGGGTTATGCGCGGTCATGAGTTCAAATTGTGCCACAAACAAAAACCTGATATTTACGTGAGAAGGGTAGAGGGATGGGCTTACTATCTACAAGTTTCAAACCGAGAGCCACCGGCCCTTGGGAAATTCTCGGTTATAAAAAAAGTGCTTATTATTCTTTAGTCTGTGGAAGCATGCAGTAGACTAACACTCCCTCTTTTACTTTATTTTGTTCTTTTGGTTCAGAATATGTGAAATTGCTCGTGATTGGACGCTTAGGTTTGCAGCATGTTATGAAAAACAAAAGCACAAGGCAAGGTGTATGACTTAAGGCTTGAGGTGAACGTATTTAAGAGATTATTATTCTTAGTGTATTAATAAGGTAAATATGATCTAAAAGTACAGAATTGATAAGAAATATAAGGGGAAAGAAAAAATAGATAGAGGATAAAGAAAACAGAAGAAAGAATGAATAGATGCCGTGATTGACTGGAATTTCATATACGAGCACCACTTCTCAAAAAAAAAAAGGGAAAATAATAAATACAATATACGAGCACGGGGTGTTATCAGTGGAGAATCTACTCTCAAAAAGGAATGAGGGGGAGAGGAGAGGTAGAGGCTACAAAATCCCCGGCTTCACCTATGAGTGTGTTCATATTTCTAAATATAATAATTAAGCTAGACAAATCAATTTGGATTGTAATTTCTTAAATCCAAAAACCGAAATTCCAAACCAAACTTTTCATATCCAAGCTGATCTGCATGAACGCCTATCCCTACTTCTTATGCGTCTGTAGATTTTAAGAAGTTTATCTGACAATATGATAAATTTTTGGGGAGTATTAACTTTTCCTGAATTTTGGATGATTTCCATTATTAGTATTTATTACCAATGTTGAATTTCATTGTCCTATTCTTTCACTAACACACACTCTTGTTGGCGAACAGGCTGTTTAGGTTCCAAGTTTTTGTTAGCATTCTCAGGCTAATAACTTGTGGTTCTTGAGGCATAATCTTGGCATTGACACATCTCCTTTACAGGGCTCCCTTCTCTTAAAATGCTTCAATCTCTGTATAAATGCCAAAGACACTTGTGTACAAAGATCAGGAAAAGCAGCGTCTTCGTGCAGTTTGTGTCAACTAGCTGTAGCAGCAACATCACAAATGACGAGAGCAAGTCACTCATTAGCTTGTGTCGCAGGAAGTCGCATGGTTTATCAAAAGAAACCATCATTAGTGAAGCAAAAACAGTCCAATTAGACACTCATGCATGTTCAGAAGTTTCAGCTGTAGTTGACTTCTTCCAAAACCATGGGTTTTCTGCAACCCAAGTGAAGAAAATAGTTAGAATGCGCCCTTGTTTATTAGCATCGAAGGTGGACAAAACCCTAAAGCCCAAGTTGAAGTTCTTGCAATCAATTGGCTTTTCTGAAGATGAATGCAGCAAGATTATCTGTTATAACCCCAACATACTCCTCAGTAGCATAAGGAAACTACTGACTCCATCCTTTGATTCCCTGAAGACTTTCATGGGTAGTAAAGTGCAAGCAATGGATGCCGTCAGACGAAGTCCACAAATCCTTAGTCGAAAGATCTCTCATAATTGGAAGCAGACTGTACAGGTATTGCACCAAATTGGTATTCCTGATTCTCAAGTTTCAGAGTTTATTTTCAAATCTCCAATTATCTTGACCATAAATCCCCAAAAAATGAGTGTGGTTGGCTTGAGGCTCAAGGAAATGGGGTTTGATGTTACTTCTCCAGCATTTAGGATAGCTTTTACCACAATGTCGAAAGTTAGTCACTCCAATCTGGAAAGGAAATTGGAAACCTACAGAAGTGCGGGCTTTTCAGATGAGGAGATCCTTAATATTTTCAGATCACAGCCGACTTGCATGTTTTATACTGAGGAGAATATCAGGTCACTTGTGGCATTCTATGTTGATAGACTACATTTGAGCCCGTCACACTTGTCACAAAGACCGGCTTTTCTATTGCGTAGCCTGAAGAGGAGGGTTATTCCAAGGTGTTCTGTGATGCAAGTTTTGTGGTCAAGAGGCATTGTTCCAGAAGCTGGCAAGCTATCCACTATATTAATGATTAGGGAAAAGGACTTCTTACAGAAGTATGTTACTAGATATGAAGCAAAAGTTCCTGAACTGCAGGCTGCCTACCAGGGCGAACTTATGTTCAAAGAGTACAGTTTTCATTTGCGTGAAATTCGCCAGATTTCAATGTCAAAGGGATCATCTTCAAAAACTAAAGTAGCTTAGTCCTCGCACCATATGCTGTCTCATACCTCTTCAGTTTTCTTGTTTTAGCACCATTTGCTATCAGAAGCTTAGTTTTTGAACCACTTGCTGTCACATTCTTGGTGTTTGATTGCATGAAGATCATCCCAAGTAAAAGTAGATTATGATACTTCGAAGCCGTTGGGGTGGTCATTTGAATATTTATATGAAGGTGTTTGACTACGTGAAGTTTAAGAAAAAAAGAAAGACTTTTGAAAATTATGGTATAAAATATGACACACTTTTGGATATATACTCATGTCATTTAAAGTAAAATAAAAGGTTTATTCTTTATAATTAAAATGTATATTACATTGTTTAATCAATTTAAATATTGTTAAAACGAAAGGAAAGATATTGTATCTTGTATAACTTTTTTACATGATGATTAATTGTACAAAAATACACCATTCAGTATAAATTAAAAATTCACTCCAGAAGAAGGAGAAGAGACGAAATAGAAATAAAAACGAACAAGACGAAGAGAGTTGTGACATGTATGTTAAACTGACGAGGGATAGCTCGATAAATAGAAATTTGATAAATATATCTTTATATTGAACATACTAATTTTTTGCTTAGCAAAAATTTGTAATTTCTTTACAAAGTAGAAAATGTACTTTTGAGGCTGAAAACTATTACTACCGATGCACATGCTATTAACCAAACTGTAATAAGTCGTAGAAATGGAAAACTTTCTTAGTTTGGCATTTATCTAAACTTTGGGCAAAAGTAGCGGTTTTTTGAAACTCAAAAGGTTCTGAATGCTAAATTTTAATATTTCGTCTTCGTCGGTAAAATGGGCATCTACTGCTCACTTTGTTCGCCACTCTCACCTGGAGTTGCAGGTATGTGATCTTCACTCCTTCCTATGTTTTTTTTTTTTTTTTTTTAAAAAAAATAAAATATTCTAAACATGGAAATGCTTCGCTGTTATATTTTGTGTACATTGGATTTATATAATAGAGGAAACAACAGGAACTATACGCTATAAATAGGTGATTATCTGGTTCTTGAACTTAAGTCTCATATTGTAACTTGTTTTATTTTTCATTCTATCCAAATTCCTTTTCCTAAGCAACCCTTTTTTACTCTTCTTCGTCCCTTTTGTTTTCTGTCTATTTGTTGTTCCTTTCTTTTTATTTGAGCTTCGGGTAATTCTGAAGTGTGTGTGTATGTGTATAAAGGGAAATTGCATAACCCATCTTTTAGTTCATTATATTTTTTCCTTTTCCTCGCAATTTTTTTTTTAAAAAGAGAAAGAAGGAAAGAAGGTAAGATGAAAGCCTATTTATTCTATAAAATTTCATGCTTTTTCAAAAAATTATATTTTTAGTTCACTTTTGGATTGATTCTTATCTTAAAGAGAAATTGAGGGTATGAGTTGTTATATGATATTGGACAAACCTCACCTCATGAGCTATCTTTTGAGTTTGAGTTAGGTCCAAGGTCCATTTTTCTCAATATGGTATCAAGCCAGACCAAAGGCGGATCCATTATTTGGAGCTTTCGGGTGCCATATAGCTTTGAACATCCATGTGGTCGTTGTTTATACATTTAGAAAGAGTAAATATTTTATCGGTTTGAGCAACTTTGGACTTCGGTTCGGATTACTTGTCTTTTTGATATATAATATAAATCGATTGAACAGAAAAATATGGTACTATAGTTATGATAGAGCAAAGATTTTGCAAAAGAAGATGTTATTTTAATTTTATGTGAAAAAAGGTAAATACTTAACTAATAAGAGACAGAAAAAGAAAGTCAAAAGTTAACAAATAAAGTAAGATAGTTAATATTAATTACAGAAGAAGAAAAAAGAGAATGGATTATATAATGATAGAAAGTTTAACGTGATGTGGCAAGCCAAAAGGTTAAAAAACGTTACTGTTGCCAGTGGGGTTCAATCATTCACCACCAAGATGGAATCTCCTACCCTTTGTCATTGGCACCTTTGTATCATTTGTTACTACGGGTGGCGCTTTAAATATATAAACGATTTCTTATATATATATATATATATATACACACACATACATACACAGAATTTCGACCGAAGCTTGCTGGTGGCGTACCACCCCCTCGGGCCTTGCTAGATCCGCCCCGAGCCAGACTCACTACGCCACTCGTAATGTTGCATTGTCCAATGGTGGTGCCATATTATGTCAATATTGGTTGATAGTATAGGTTGTAGTCTCTTTACATGATCTTCTCATGAGTTAGCTTTTTGGGTTGAGTTAGGTCCATATCCTTTTTCCTCAGCACTTTTCTCTTAGTACTTATAGCAATAGAGTAGTCATACAAGGATAGTCTATTTGCAACTGTAGAAATGTGGAATAACTTATTAATACTTATCCAAGTAAAAAGCTAGAAATATCTTATGATTTGGGTCTGCAAATCCCAATAATATTTATGGAAATCTATATGGACCAAACCACAACGAAGATTTTGAATAAAATGAGTAGGGAATGATTTCGAAGAAGGTGAATAGGAGACTTGTAGAACATGTTGCACTATTCAGCCTATTTGGTTTAAATGGACCAAATCATAGGGATGATTTTGAATAAACTGAGTAGGATATGATTTTGATGAAGTAAATAGGAGATCTGTAGAACATGTTGCACTATTCAGCCTATTTGGGAAGTGGTAGTAAGGCTCTCAAAAATCTAGAGGGGCAAAGCAGAAAAGTTTGGAGATCAATATTCTAGAAAAAGACGTTTTCAGATCATCTAATGAGTTACATGGAATGTAGTTGGTGTAGGGAAATGGAACTACTTTTCAATGTTAAATTTTTACTTCTTTGCTAATAGGAAAATATTGCTTCCCAACATGATGATTGCTATGTCTTCGGAAGGGGTCGGAGCTATAGTGCTTTAGAAAGATTCCTGTTGTTGGAGCTGCGTGCAAGAATGCATGACATAGTTGGATAATAAGCTCAACAAAGATACTGTAGCTAGTTTAGATATAGTTACCACTGTTTGTGGGAGACAAGATAAGCTTATCACTTTTTTGGGTGATAGATGTGGAACTTAGGTGTTTTAAGAATCTAACTAGCATTTTGGGCGGGAAGGGTAGAGAAGATAAGGCCTTATTCCAGTGAGGCTGCATGCTATAAGTTCTATCGATCACAACCACTTTCCTATAGGAGGACTTAGCTCAGCTAGTGAGCTAATATATCAACCCCTCACTTTCCTTCCAATATTTGATATACAGTTCACCACCATCCTTCAAGTGTGTTCTTGACTTGAGTAAAATCCTACAGTCAGTGACTTCACTTGAGTAAAATCCTACAGTCAGTGACTTCAACTCGGAGAATAGTATTATTCTGAGGAAACATGCAGTAGACTAACACTCGCCCTTTAATGTTTTCTTCTTTTGAATCAGAATGTGTGAAATTGATCTCTATTGGGGGCTTAGGTCTGCAACAATATTTGGAGAAAAGAAAGCACAAGGCAAGGTATATATCTTAAGGCGTGAGGTGAATTCATTTTGGGGATTGTTCTTCTTAGTGTAAAAAGTTGGATAAATATGATCTATAATTACAAAATTAATTGGAAATAGAAGGGGAAATAAAACTTAGATAGAGGGAAAAGGAAAAACAGAAAGAATGAATGAATGGATGTCGTGGTTTACTGGAAATATCATATACTGGCACCACTTATCCCAAAAAAAAAAAAAAAAAAAAANAGTGAAATCTCAAAATCTCTCGAAAAATCCTTTAGAGTTGATTACTTTTTATACATACTCCTTCTGGTCCATAATAAATGACCCAAAAAAAAAAAAAAAAAAAAAGTACGAAAGAAATACCATATACGAGCACCACTGGCGTTATCAGTGGAGAACCTAATTTCGGAAAAGAACAAAGGAGAGAGGAGAAAAGAGGCTTTAAAATCTTGGGCTTCATCACTGAATTTGTTGATATATCTAAATACAATGAAGCTAGACAAATCAAATGCGCTTAATATGTTTACTAAAAGAAGGGGGCTCCAGAGCACAAGTAATCTTCATCAATAAAAACATTAAGAGGCGCAAAAGATGAACAAAGCGCCAAAAGGCATGTGCCCTAAAGAAAATTTTTAAAAGTTGAATTTCTCACCCCTAAAAACACAAACAAGGAATGCTTCATCTGAAAATGGCATGAATATTAGCAGGAAATATCCTAAATTGATGCTCGACTAGTGTTAAATTTGGACTTGACTATGACTTGGATGCCAAGATTTGTTGCCCGTGTTGTAGACCTTAACTAGTATCTCAATGTGAGGCCGGTGTAGTCCTTTTCACACTCGGATAGATATATTTCATAATGGTGACAAAATCAAGTATTTTCTCTTACTTGTCAAAAGGGGGGAAAGAAGTCTTAACCAAGAGCACTCTTTCGAGCATCCCTACAATTGGGAAAGTCTTACGACTCCAAAGAAGTGGGGTGGAGGGGTGGGGGATTTGCTGATCTGATCCCTCGAGCATTATCTTCCACTGTTTCCTTATCTCGCTGGCAATAGTGGAATCCAATCTTTCTAGGTAGATCAGCAATAGCATAAAGTATATCCGAGTAACTGCAGCAATTTGATCAAAACCAACTAGAGGAAACTCATTGTTTGGCTTCAACTTTAATATACTGATCTGTCTTGTCATGCTGTTCAGAATTTCGTTTGGAATTGTGGGAATTGGCACTTGGCACTATGACATTAAGAAGTTTATCCGGCATTATGACAACTTTTTGTGGAATATTGACTTTTCCTGAACTTGGAGGATTTATATAATTACCAATGTTGAATTTCACTGTCCTATTCTTTCACTAACGAACACTCTTTTGTGGCAAACAGGCTGCTTACGTTCCCAGTTTTTGTTTGCATTGCCGGGATTATAACTTGTAGCCCTTGAGGCATGATCTTTGCATTCACATATCTCCTTCAGAGGGATCCCTTCTCTTAAAATGCTTCAATCTCTGTATAAATGCCAAAGAAACTTGTGTACAAAGATCAGGAAAAGTAGCCTCTTTGTGCAGTCTGTGTCAACTAGCTGTGGCAGCAACACCTCAACTGATGAGAGCAAGTTGGTTATTAATTTGTGTCACAGGAGGTCGCATGGTTTATCAGAAGAAACTCTCATTAGTGAAGCAAAACTACTCCAATTAGACACGCATACATGTTCAAAAGTTTCAGCTGTACCTGAATTCTTCCAAAACCATGGGTTTTCTGCAACCCAAGTGAAGAAAATAATTAGACTACGCCCTAAACTACTAGCATCAGGGGTGGACGAAACCCTAAAGCCCAAGTTGCAGTTCTTGCAATCAATTGGCTTTTCTGAAGATGAATGCAGAAAGATTATCTGTCGTAACCCCAACATACTCCTCTGTAGCATAAGGAAACTACTGACTCCATCCTTTAATTCCCTGAAAACTTTCATGGGTAGTAAAGTGAAAGCAATGGCTGCCATCAAGCGAAGTCCACAAATCCTTAATATGAAGATCTCTCATAGTTTGAAGCAGACTATACAGGTATTGCACCAAATTGGTATTCCTGATTCTCAAGTTTCAGAGTTTATTTTCAAATCTCCTGTTATCTTGACCATAAATCCCCAAAAGATGAGTGAGGTTGGCTTGAGACTCAAGGAAATGGGGTTTGATGTTACTTCTACAGCATTTAGGACGGCTTTTGCTGCAATGTCTATACTTAGGCATTCCAAACTCGAAAGGAAATTGGAAACCTACAGAAGTATAGGCTTTTCAGATGTCGAGATCCTTAATATTTTCAGATCGCAGCCGACTTGCATGTTCTATAGTGAGGAAAATATCAGGGCAATTGTGGCATTCTATGTTGACAGACTCCATTTTAGCCCGTCACACTTGTCACAAAGACCAGCTTTTCTATTGTGTAGTGTGGAGAGGAGGCTTATTCCAAGGTGTTCTGTGATGCAAGTTTTGTGGTCAAGAGGCATTATTTCAGAAGTTGGCAAGCTATCCTCGATATTAATGACTATGGAAAAGGACTTCTTACCCAAGTATGTTACTAAATATGAAGCAAAAGTTCCTGAACTGCTGGCTGCCTACCGCGGTGAACTTAAGTTCAAAGAGTACAGTTTTCATTTGCATGAAATTCGTCAGATTTCAATGTCAAGGGGATCATCTTCAAAAACTAAAGTAGCTTAGTGTTTGCACCATATGATGTCCCATATCTCTTTGGTTTTCTTGTTTAGCACCATTTACTGTCAGAAGCTTTCTTTTTGAACCATTTCACAATCTTGGTAAATGTAATGCTATTTCTACTTCTTGTTTCCTATTCTTAAGTTTGAACCGCTGTGTTTAGTGGTGAACATTACATAGAAAATACTCCCCATGAGTTTTCATATAGAATATGGTAATGTAATTCGATGAAGAATATTAAAAGAGAAGTTTTTGAAAGGAAGCTAAGTTTATCTCTCTCTAGGTTGGTCCTTTGACTATTCAATATCATCCATCTTTGTAAGCACAGTACAATAATAGAGTAGTAATCTTTTCCTTTATCTCATCAGCTATCAATTCGAACCATCTGCCTGTGGACACATAATCTAATATAATGATATTTCCAGAATTTAATCATCACGTGGAAAATTTGATAGCCATAACATTATGCTTCAATCATTAATTTATGTAGATGTTACTATTATCAAAGAGGTGGAACATCAAGGTGAAGGGAATGGAACTTCCAATTCCGAGCAGAGTGAAGAAAGCTTGGGATGAATGGAATATCCAAGTAAAGGGACAATTTGAAAAATTCTAGTCTTATTGGCAACCCTTCTATTCAAATATTGAAAGAAAGTGATGGTCCTGGTGATACTAGAAAGTGATGGTCCTGGTGATACTACCAAATTAAAGAGCTTGGACGTTGTTAAATATGCATATCATATTTTTAAGACATACAAAGGACATATTGTTGATCATAAATTTTACTCCCGAGGAATACAAGACAAGTCAAAAGCTAGTTCGCGACAATATAAAGGATGGAAATGAAGCTTTTAGAACAGTGGAGACTGAAATCTACATAATATACGACGCCTTACATACAAAGACCTCCCTTTTAGTTCGTCCCAAAAAGTACTTATTCATCTCCCGGTTGGTTTAATTTATTGGGTGTTTTGCTTTCATGGACAAGGAAGGATTTGGCTCAGTGGATGTTGCTGTGACCTATATATGCATTGCTACTCAGTACCATTATTCTGGATGCAATAGCTGTGCTAATTATGATTTTGTCATCCTACTTGGTTGTTGCATCTATGTTAGAGCCTCCAATTTGGGGCACTTTGCTACGTGGTTCCTTGGAACTAGTGATGCAAATTTGGAGTCGAAGCTTCCCACAAACTCTGCAGCAGTATAACCTTATAACTCATTGTCGCCAACAACGTTCAAGAAAATGTTAGAAAATGTTAGAGACTGCACACTTTTATTACTTACTATATTATGTCTGGACAGATACCACTCCCATTGGCTGAAAGGCTGAGGTGCAGAATATTTTCAAAGGCCAAACCACTTATCGAATTACCACAGAGGAAAACTGACGGCCAGTTAATTCCTAGAGATCACTGGGATGATCACTTCACGTACCTAACAGAAAGTTGCCACAAGCTCTTCTATGCAACTAGTGCTGAGGAATTTCTCATACTCTTCCACATTGCCACCAAAATCTGCTTCCATTTTGATGATGATAGCAAAGAGACCTCGGCCTAGCCGCGCGAGAAATTTTCGTGTTTGGTGTACGCTTCTGTCGGACTATGTATTTTACCTTGTTATATTCAAGCATCTTGCATGCCGACTGTATTAGAATATCAGAAAACTATTGAAGAGACATTGGCAGAGGCTGGGGAGTTGTTCTTTCGAGGAAAGAAGAAGCCATTAGATCAAAGGAAAGCTTGTGAAGAGATTCTTGGTCTTGCGGAGAACAAGAATATTACTAATGATCATATGAAAGATGATGATGAACTAGTTCTTGATCAATCTGAGCAAGGTATATCGGGTGTGCGTATTTGCAAATATGTTGATAGGCAGCCAGGATGATATACAAGTGATGTGTGGATAGAGAGGCTACTGGAGGCTGCAAAATGAAGCATACCAAATTTCTTCACTCAAAATCTGGGCAAAGGAGGGGAATTTCTGAGTTTAGTATGGTTGTTAATGGCTCATTTGGGAGGTGGATCGCAATACCAAGTTGGGAAACTTGAGTCCATTGTGGCTCCAGCCGTACAGTCCAGAAAACCCCAAGCTCGAGCCCAATGACTAGTGGAAGAGTTTAGAAATGCCTCATGTTATTTGCTGGTTAGTTAGAGGGAACAAGTTACTGTAATTACTATAAATATAACTATGGTACTTCTCTTTTTCTATCTAATAAAAGGGTTAACTTTGCTTAAAAATTCAAATATCTTAACCTTGTTGGATTACATTCCACATGTTTGTACTTCCATGCACAACAAACTGTAAAATAAAGGAAAAAATGAACTACTTGGTGAGATTCAAGAACATAAGGCTCATTTCGGAAGCAAAGATACTTGTATGAGCATAAGTAGCATATCCAATCATATGCTCAAGTTCCAAGATACTACTAAAATGTAAGAGGAGTTGAGGAGAGAACACGGGAGGGACTTGTCGACAAGATCTTGCAGTAAGCAGCAACTAGATATCTATCAGCTTAGCAAGAGGACTATTACCAGAGAACAAAGGGCCTGCAATCAAACATTCTTCCTCCTGATCTTTCCCTTGCCAAAATGCTTCTTCTTCGCTATTTTAAGCTTCTTTTTCATCTTCCTTCCAAGAGGTTTTAAAGATTTTGCACTTTGATTTCCATCAGCCATCTCCACATCTGGAAATCAAGATGATGACAATTTAGCATACTCAGGGGAAGGCTAAAAGCAGATGGGACGTGCAAGTTCCTATCAACTTCATCAGCGATAGAAGATACAGAACACTTGGTGTATATGAGCAGTTAAATCTCATAGACATGTAATAATTTTTTCACAAGGAATTAAGTGGAAGGGCACTTACATATGAGGAAGGTTATTCGGTTATTCTTACAACATGCAAAGACACTCAACAACAGTCTTGTCATTTCTGCTAATTACAGTATTCCTTTTTTTGTGGGTTTTTTTTGGGGGGTGGGGTGGGNTGACTTTACAAGCGAAAGTTAGTGACCTGATGTTTTCATTAGACACTAGTAACAAGATATTTTTCTTTACTGGCATTACACAGTAGATAATTCGTATAACTACTGAATCACTGGATATATATATAGATAGATAAATAGATAGATAACAAAAAAACATCAACTACGTCTCAATACCAACTAATTAGGGACGACTATATGCATTATTCATGTAGCTTCATCTTTTTATAATTCTTTTACAAGAGTGGTGCTTGAGCCAACTTGTACACATCTCGACTATTCATGTAACATCATTTTTCAATTCCTAATATCCACTCTCATATAACACTGACGGTTATAGAACCAATTTAAATAACTTGCCTGCACTCAGTTAGGTATCACCTGTCGTATAAACACTCCAATAACACTTTTCCATTTAAACTATCCTATTTTAGTTCTATGCTCTAAATCTTTATCTGATTTAAAATAATCTTGGGAAATCGACCCTAGATATCTGAATTGTCTGCATTTAGACATTGCAATCCCTTCCAGTCTCACCTCAACTTCATTCTTTTTATGTTGGATAGACTTGCAAGTTGCAATGGATATATTCCATCGTACTTGTACTTATCCTAAAAAGTGTTTCTCTATTGTTCAAACTTTTTGTTAACACCCTAGATACTTCTGTCAAATAGCATAGTCCATGAGATCTGATCACGTATATACATTTAAAACTGTGAAAAGGAATAATGACAACAAAATTAGCTCTTCCCACAAGGAAACCACAGCATAACAAACAAAAAGATATCATCTTTATTCCAAAAAAAGCAAACAGAGAACAATAAAAAGAATATATAAGCAAAAACATACCCATGCTGTTGTCGTTGTTAGGAGTAGAGGTCGAAGTATCCATGGTAGTGGATGTGAAGGGAGACTTGACAACAAGCTTAGGGGCAGCAAGGGCAGCTTCTTGGGCAGCTAATTTAGCAGCTTCTTTCTTAAGGACAGAGGGCTCTGAAGCCACTATCTCTCTCTTTATAGCTCTCAGCCTCTTTTCCCTCTTACACCTCATTGACTTCGCCATCTTTCTCTTCTTCTACTTTGTGCAATCGTTGTTTCTGTTGAGGTTGATGATACCGTCGATGGTGAAAAAGGTTGCGGATGTATAGAAGAGAGAAAAGTTAAGCTAGGGTTTGAAGGTGAAGTACAGTTTACTTCAAACACAATACGTTTTGGGTACACAGACTTGGGCACCCGGTTGACAATTTCGGGCCTAGTCGACGGTGTCACTCTTTGGGCCTATTCTGATGGGCTAAATTACACAATCAGCAACTTTGCATACTCAGCAACACTATTGCAAAACATTACGTTCTAGAGCTTTCCAAAATAGTACATTACAACTTGTAATTAATCCTTTTATTTATAATGTATGTATTGATCTCTTGTATAGTAGTGTACTAGCTAGTCAGTCTACGCCAATTAGCATAATAGTACGTAGGGTTGTTTTTCCAGTTTCTTGTATAAAGATACCGAGGCATGTATAGCATTTCAAATTGAATATACACAGAAAATTCGATTTTTATTCTCTGATTTGTTAGTTTCGATCTTCGTAAACTCTGGTTTTTCGCCTACAGGGGCGGCTCCACGGTAAGCCAGGGGAAGCCCTTGCCTTAAAGCCCCCAAATATTTAAGACCCCAACAATATAAAATACTGTTATTTCTCTCTCTCTGATAACATCACGATAGGGGTCCAAGAACTATTAAAAAAAAATCAAGAAACATGCGGATGCTAAAAGAAAATAAAGAAACAAAAAAAAATAAAAAATTAAAGATAGATTGAATTCAAAAAGTCGAAACCTAACAACAACAATTAGCTAACGAAGAACTAATCGCCTTTGATAGAGAATTAAAAACAAGAGATAAATTGTGAAATCCGACCCTTTAGAATAACAAGAATAACAATAAGCCTAAACTTATCACCTTTCTTGAATACCTAGAAGTGATCTAAGATTTCGAATAATTCATCTTACCACCTTAAGTTGAGTCTTGAAGGTTGAAGAATAAATTCAAGAGTAGCTACACACAAGAGTGCAAGAAAAATCCCATAATTTTTATTGATAATAGTCTACAATAATCTAAGTCCAAAAAAAAGAAAAGGAAGACACCCCTTATATAGGTAGGAGGAGGTCACGAAATTAAAGCTTAAAAATAAGGAAATAAAGTCTCAAACTACTCTGGACAACAAGTCCAATTACCTTAGGAAAAGTAAAAACATTAAGAAATAAAAACTAAGTCAATCTTGGAAAGTAATTCCAACAATCTTAGGAAAAAGAAAACATAATCTTAACTACCTAAGAAAGCAATAAATCTAGTACCAAAATATATGAAAATAAGTTAAAACCAATCTAGGATAGGCTCTTGAAAGTCCCAAATCAATCTTGGATAGGATCTTGAAAATCTTTGAAATCTTGAAGGAAATTTGCAAGCAACTTGGCACCAACTTGCACTCAACATCTAGCACACCTATTGTACCCTTCTTGAACATCAAGTAAGTCATTTTTATGTTATAAAAATGTGGCTTTACGTAGGATTTCATGGGCTGCAAGTTTGGCCAAATTTTCGGTGCCAAATTGGTCCAAAAGTGGATTGATTAGGACTTTCTTCAAAGGATGTCTCTTGGGATCCGATCCTCCTCTTTTTAGACATAAATTTGGGCCATAAAATAACTGTAACACTAAGCCAATTCATATCCTTTATCCTTGAGTTCTTCCTCCCAATTAACAACTTCTTTATTTGCATTTCTAATGGTCTTGTTTTGCGACTCTTTGGCTTAACATCTTGTTAAAGCTCTCTTTGAGATTACAAAGCTTCATCATTATCCTTGAATAGAGTTGAACTTCATAGAATGTTATCATTCCCCTGTCACGACCCAAAATTCATTAAAGGTCGTGATGGCGCTGGACACCGTTGTCAGGCAAGCCAACAATACATACTTAGCTTAATTACCTATTTTAATGGATTTAAAATCAAAATTTCTTCAATAAAATAATAAAAATAAAACTCATAGAGTAAATGATAAATATTTTTAGCAACTAAATTTCTAAACAACTCATAATCATTCCCAAAACCGTGTCACAAGTGCATGAGCATATACTAGGGAATTTAAAATAATAAAATACAACATATGTCCAGAATACAAATTAGACCGAAAAATATAATAACTTAGAAGGAGACTCTGTTGGATGTGGATCGTAATACAGAATGCAACTCACATATGTTCCCACAATTATTAACCACACATCTGCGCCCACAAGACCGCTAGACATATATGTACTTGCACAATAAAATATGCAGCAAGTGCAGTATGAGTACGAAAATAACATGCACCCAGTAAGTATCAAGCCTAATCTCGAAAAGGTAGAGACGAGATGGACGACTTTGACACTCACTATGGGTCAATAATATTAAGTAATCACAAAAATAGAAATATTTATATCAACGTGATTCACAGAATTAACAATAATTTTTATTGAACCAATAGAAATAATTAAATTCCTTTAATCCCAATAAATTTCAAATTTATCAATTAGTCTCATTTACATGAATAACAATAATCTCCTTAACAAGCAGAGATAATTAATTCTTTAGATTTCCAATAATTTCTAATTTATCAATCAAATTCCTTCAAGTGCAGCAATTTTCAATCTATTAATTAAATCCACAAGCTGCAATTAAAAAAATAGCAAAGTAACGTGTAATTATTATTATTAGGCACGATTTCTGCCGAGGACGTACGACCTGATCCAGAGTGTCGTGTACACTGTCGAGGGACGTGCGGCACAATCCATAGATGTATCTATCCTGCCGAGGCGTTCGGCCCGCTCCACAAGAAAGGAGGACATTTTCTTTTATGTACCTCCGGAAGGATAATATATTTATTATAAGATAAATTCAAGAGGAAGAACAATTTCTCTTAACAATTAATTTACTTAAACAGAAAATCAAGTATATGAGATTTTTATCCTTTAATATTTTTATCTAACAATTCACAATATATATATATATATATATATATATATATATATCAAATAATATTAATTAAACAAAGAATATAATTTACACAAGTAATTCATGCTTCGAGTCCTAAACTACCCGGACTTTAGCATTAATAATAGCTACGCACACACTCTCGTCACCTCGTACGTACGTAGCCCCCACAATTAGCAACAATTATTTAATTTTTAATTACCTATAATGAAATTTCCTCCTCACAAGATTAGACAAGAGACTTACCTCAATTTGCTCTAATTTAATCCAATAGAAGGCCTTTTCCACGATTATCCAACTCTGTCTGGCTTGAATCTAGCCATGAATAATTCGATACAATCACTAAAAATTATTGGAATCAATTCTATAAGAAAATACTACATTTTCAATAAAAATTCTGAAGTTAATTAAAAATTCGTTTGTGGGGCCCACGTCTCAGAATCCGGCAAAAGTTACGAAATATGAACGTCCGCTCAACCACGAGTCTACCCATACCAAAATCACTAAATTCCGACAACAATTCGGCCCTCAAATCCTCAAATCTATCCAAGAGGGTTTTCAAACTTTTCCAACTCAATTCACCAATTAAATGATTAAAATAGTTATGGATTCGGGTAATTTAATCAATATTGAGTTAAGAACACTTACCCCGTTGTTTTCTCTGAAAATCTCCCAAAATCGCCTAAATCTGAGCTCCAAATCGTTAAAAATGGAAAATCAGAACTTAAACTCTCTGCCCAGTGATTTCTTCTACGCGATCGCGTAGTACAAATTCTTCTGTCCAGAAAATAACTCTACGCGATCACATAAAGTCTCACGCGATCGCGGTGCACAAGGTTCCAACTTTACACAATCGCATCCCTCTTCACGTGATCGCATAGAGCAAACGCGTGGTCAACTTCCTCTCCAGTTTCCTCTACGCGATCGCAAACAATGACACACGATCACGATACGCACACTGGCCAATCCTACGCGATCGCAGTGAACAAATTCCCAGCTGCCCAAATTAACCCTACGTGATCACAACCCCTTTCACGCGATCGCATAGAACAAATCCACCTCTGCCTAAATTACTCTACGCGATTGCAGACCAACCTACGAGATCGCGTATAAAGATACCACAAGAAAATACCAGGAGTTATCAGCAGTGTTCCAAAGGCCAAAAGTGATCAGTTAGTCGTCCGAAACTCACCCGAGCCCCTCGCGACCTCGACCAATTATACCAACAAGTCCCAAAACATCATACGAACTTAGTCGAACCCTTAAATCATACCAAACAACGCTAAAATTACGAATCATCCTCCAATTCAAGCTTAATGAAACTTAAGATTTTCAACTTTCATTCGGTACTGAAACCTACTAAATCAAGTCTGATTGACCTCAAATTTTGCACACAAGTCATAAAAGATATAACGGAGCTATGAAAATTTTTGAAACTGGATTCCTACCCCGATATAAAAAAGTCAACTCCCCGGTCAAACTTCCAAACTTAAATTCTTGTTTTAGCCTTAATTTAACTACAGACTTCCAAATAAAATTCCGAGCATGCTCCTAAGTCCAAAATTACCATACGGAGCTTTTGAAACCGTCAAATCCTGATTCCGGGGTCATTTTCTCAAAAATATTGACCGAAGTCAAACTTGCCCCTTTTAAAGCCAAACTAAGAAACCAATTGTTCTGATTTCAACCCGATCACTTCCAAATTCCGAATCAACCATCCCCGTAAGTCATAAATTAGAAAATGCACATACATATAGTCTTATTCAGGGGAACGAGCTTTTAAACACTCAAAACGACTGGTTGGGTCATTACATTCTCTCCCACTTAAATATACGTTCGCCCTCGAACATGCTAAGGACTGTTCTGGAGTTGTCTCAAAATCACAGTTTAACACTTCGAGCACCTACCCGTGCTACCACACCAAATTGAGCACATTAGTTTGAGCAAATTTGACGATTCTCCCCCTTATTTAGGCAATTAAGCCTTAGAGCCCAATTCTAACATCCAGAATTCTCCACCATGCATGTTTCCAACCTACGAACACCGTATCAATCACTATATTATGCCCCAATACTGGATTGCATAGCTTTGTTGAATTTAGACCATGCACAACACCATTCACATGACTATAATAACATTCTCCTATAATAATAGCCAAAATTTCAC